TATATATATATATATATATATAGGAGTATCCTTAAGTAATGTTAGGTTTGATTCGACCGTAAAAACAGTTGTTTACCGACGCAGCAATATCGACAGACTTTTTTCTGTCACTTATAGTAATTAGTAAGTGTATTAGTTGTAATTAGCTTATAGATTGACATTACACTAAGTATAAGCCCTTTAGTAGTATCCTTAAGTAATGTTAGGTTTGATTCGACCGTAAATTGATAATTTTATTACGTAGAAGTGAATTAGTGACAACTAGCTTATATAAATTGATAATTACAATAAGCATAAGTGGATTTGCCGATGATTTATTCTAAATTCGTAATCACACTACCTAAATGTATAGTATAGTATAGTATAGTATATATTGCTACTATTATAGAAGGGACTAAGGAGAGGAGCTTGGGGTAGTAAGGGAATTTTGGGAATAACATTTTTTGGCTTTCTGGACACGTGCTATCTCTGATTTTCCAGTCTGTGCCTCTATGCGAAGCCCAAACCAGCACAGAATTCCGAAGAAGGTACGCGCTACTACTCTTTCTCCGGATTTTGATCTATTTTCCTCAAATCTCTTCCGATCTTCTCTCTTGCGGCACAGTTTCTGCGCTTCGCCGAAACAGTTATCAGGTTAGTTATGTTTTGCCCGGAATTTTGCTTCCTTTGCCCCAACTTTTGTGTACTTCCCTGAGACTGAGAATATGTGTTTGGGAAAAATTCTTCAATGCATCATACTTTCTATTCGATTTATGCGAAGAATAATCTGATGATTTTGATTTTGGATAATTTTTATTTGATTTTGGATAAACGGTGCGCCGAGCAGTCACTACAAGAAATTAGGTTTTTAGCGACGATCTTTAGTGGCGACGGTTCCAAATTGCTTTTTGAATTTTTTGATTCCCGCGCAAGACAAAAAACCGAAATAATTGTAACTCAATATTTCCGACCGAATTCGGTCGGAAAGTGGTCAAATATTTGGTCAACATTGTACTTAAATAATTATTTATTAAGAGTATTTGGTCGCAAAACACAACAAAAGTGACTGACAGCAAAAAAAATAAACTTTCCGACCGATTTCGGTCGGAAAATTTGTCAAATATTTGGTCAAACTTGTATATAATGTAAAAAATAATTATTTATTAAAATATTTCCAAATTTCCGACCGAACTCGGTCGGGAACTGATTAAATATTTGGTCAACCTTGTATATAATGTAAAAAGTAATTATTTATTAAAAAAATTCCAAATTGCTTTTTGATTTTTTTGTTTCCCGCGCAAGACAAAAAATCAAAATAATTGTAACTCAATATTTCCAACCGAAT